AAAAGGTACATGTGTACCATGTTTCAGATTTCTAACCCTTCTAGAACGTGGTTAGAATTAGCGTCAGTCAGTCAGTCACGATCGTCTCGTATACATTAGATTGTCGGATTTCCAGGAGTGATCGGTGTCATCGACGACTGTCGTACTCGAATAGAATGCCCAGACAACTTTTATCAATTCCAAATGCTTTTATTTCATCGATGTCCAAGCAGTGCGCAATGCGGAAAGGATTTTTACTAATGTTGGCATTATGTGAACAGGATCTATACGCGATTCCGGAAAATACTCATTTTGCAATCGTACCCAAATGATACTCTATTTCACATTTCATACTTCTCCGTGTGCCCAAAACGAATCCTTGGCTTTTCCTCTGATGTATCGAAATACAGAGTAAGGTCAGAGGAGAACTCACCAGTTTCCAGCCATGATTATTGTTGTGCAAGGATAGTGTATTGTGTTTCTATTGCGAGAGATTCTCTTTTACAAGCGCTGGAAAATGTACTTAAAAGTCTGAGGAAAGGTTCTCCTTTTTCACTCGATTCGATCGTTTTTTGGTGGAGTTCGAAGTGTATTACGCGACAACCGAGGAGTCAGAATGTGTTATATGTAGGGCTGTACTGGTGGCCACATTTGGCCGGTGGGCCATTGGCCGATTATTTTCTCATACCTATCAGCCGATGCTGGTGCCTATCGTGACGTGTAAAGAAACAGCGAAAAAGCATTCGAGAAAATTTTTTATATGTCAAATAGACGTATAATAGTGCACCTTTATTTATTATTATTGCTTCCACGCTGGGTATTTCGAGTACACCCATTTATCGACCGGAAACATCAGTAGTGCATCGATGCCTCAACTATCGAAAATGACAAATACATCGATGGATGAACTGCGATTGTCCTAATTTTTTCCTATAGCCGTTGAGAATCGGTTACCGAGCCCCGTTCAAGTGGTATTTTTTTATTTTTCCGCGTTCAGCACGTTCTTCTTTGAACATCAGCACCGGCCGGTTTCAAACCTGCAGATGACCGATATGGCCTATAGTGCAACACCGGCGGCCGAGACCGGTGTTACCCGATACATCGGTACAGCCCTAGTTATACGAGGCTTGTATGAAAAGTCATGCGTGTTCTGCAATAAAAATTTGCATATTGCGCGCACGCGAAAAATTCCTACAAATTCTGAAAGCCCCGTCAAATAGGAACACAACGATATGCGGAATGTGTTCCAAACCCTCCCGAATCACCGGAAAAAAATTGTTACACAGAGGCATGTAAATCACATTTCCCGATTTCCAAGAAATTCTTTTTATTTTCTTAAAAAAAAAATCGGACATGTGAAAGCCGTCTCAATCGCCCTCAAAGTACTCGCCGTCGGCGGCCACACACTTTGCCCATCTAGTCGGCCAGGACTCAACTATCGCCTTCCGGAACGCGCTGACCGGAATCGACTTCAGCACCTGTTCGACGTTGCGCTTGATTTCCTCCACGCTGTCGAATCGCTTGCCTTTCAAATGTCTCTTGAGGAGGGTGAACAACCAGAAATCCGCAGGAGCCAGATCAGGAGAGTTGGACGCCTGGCGCAACACCTCGGTACCCATCTTCGCCAACCACTGCTTCACGACGTTTGCTGAATGTGCGGGGGCATTGTCGTGGTGGAGAATCCAGCCGTTGCCTCCCCAATTCTGCGTTTTGCCCACCCTCACTCTGTTCAAGCGAACCTTTTCTCTGAGACGGCGGAGCACGCCCAGGTAAACAGACTTGTTCACCGTCGCTCCCGATGGCAGAAATTCGGCAGAGGTCGAAATCTCGTCGGCGACCTCGCGAACCGTTAGTCGACGGTCCGCTGTTATCAATTTCCGAACGCGTTGAATGTTACCGCTCGTTCTCGCTGCCTTCGGACGCCCAGAACGCCGTCGATCGGAAAGATCGAAGTCGCCGTTTCGGAAGCGTTGGAACCACCGCCGGACCTGCGACACAGTGAGCGCATCCTCGCCGTAAGCAACTCGGATCTCACCGTGTGTCTGGAGAGCCGAATTTCCCCGTCGAAACGAAAACAAAATGGCATTTCTCTGCTCCATTTCTCAACTTATGAAGCATTCTTTTCCTTTTAAAAGTACTCATCGGGAAACTGCCGCTACCTGCCTCTGTTTCTCCCACGACTGTTACATTTGCATATTAGCAACCAGCCTATGTTATACATCGTTGCGTTCCTCTTTGATGGGGCTTTCAGAATTTGTAAGAATTTTCCGCGTGCGCGCAATATGCAAATTTTTATTACGGAACACGCATGACTTTTCATACAAGCCTCGTATGTTCCATGATGGTTGTTTAGATTCTCTCCCTCAAAACCCAGGGAAGGTTGGGTTACCAGAATTTAGAGCATGAAAGCTGTGCAGGCGTCGATGACGACACAAATGAGGACATGTTTTTCTGTTACTTCTGTAAATTTGCATCTGTGATGAATGCATGAATAGCAATTTGAAACATGAAGAATTGTTTTACTATAAAATTTCCATTGTTGTTTCTGTCTCTGTGTCTTGTAAATAGTCCTTTAATGAATATGGGAAAACATGAGAAAAAAGACGCGGTTGATTTGTAGGTGTTTCATTGCTATTTCTGTTCTTTAGCCTTGGAATGAAGAATGAAAACCTGGAGGAAAAAGAGAAAGCATCTGTTTGCAATTTGTGGATGCTTTGTTGCGGTCTCTGCTCTGTGAACTTGCTAAATAGGCACAAAATGAAGAAACGGAAAACATGTAGAAAATCATTAGTTTGATATTTATTTATATTTTATTGATGTTTGTTCTGTGACCTATCTATACATATATAATGAAGAAAAACTTCGTAAAACAATTTATGGAGGCCTACCCAGTTTTGCCCCATGGGTGGGGCGGAATGAGGTATTTGAAACCATCTTTTAGAAATGTACGGGGGAAAAACTGTCGGCGATTTGGCGATGAAGTTGAATCCAAGTCATAGGTAAGAATTTGAAGGTACCACACACCAATCCGCAAATTGCTACGCCAATTCCTTGATACTAAATTTTGGCAATTTTGCTGAACCGCTCCGTTTTGCCACACCTTCCCCTACTCTGTAACGTGAGTCACGGAGAAATCACCTAATTAAAAAACTCTATAGATGTTAGAGTTCATGTGCTATTATATATATCCCTTCATCTTTTAACTAAGCGACATCGAAGTACTGTCTAAATCGAATTTAAATAAAGCATGATTAATTTACGGAAGACCTACACTTGGAAATGGTGTCCTTTGTAACATGAGTCACGAAGACGTTTTTCCATTTTCTTGCACTAATTAGAACTTTTAAAAATTAATAGCATCATATTCAACAAACGCTCCATCCCTGCAATCATCATGACTTAAGGGACGATATGAAATTGAACTTTCAGAAGTCAGAGTGGAATGAAATTCTGAAAATGTTGTGCATTTGTATGAATAACATGAGTCACGATGAAATACCCAACCTATACTCCCTTTCTCCGCCATATTTAACAAAGAAGTTGCGTATAGAATATTATTAGTTTCGTGAATGAACTAGATAAAATAGCCCATGATGAAAAATGTCATATTTCCATTGATTACTAGCTCATTAAATATTGCATAACTGAAGCACTGTTGCCTTCAAAAACTTTTAAAAATGAATCTCTCAATTGTCAATGACAGGCTCTTCTAACGAACGGAAATGTAAGAAGTCGACGGGTCACTTCAGTCAATCCAAAAGCAAGGATCCAAGGCAGGAGAACCATGCGCTCGTTAATACTTCATTGGAACACAGCAGCAAAAGCTTTGAGGACACTATGGAGGACGACAGAGCCAACAATAACATTCCTGAACCTGATATCCTACCTGTTTCGAAAAACTGCGAGGAACAACCAAATAAGCCGAATCGCCATGAGGTATAAACCATATTGCTTTTTTATATTGCAATGCATCGGCGTGTGTAGATGCGTTCATATGAAATTTAGAAATTATTTTCCAATTCAAGCAGTCCCGAAGAGAACAGACGGAACTTATACAACCTACTGCAGGAAAAGACCATTTGGAAAGTAATGCTGATAGCGTTCTTCCCAGTGAATTACTGGCTGCTGCAGCTCCTGGTTCCGGTAGAAGTTTCTTTTCTGGAGCAAATTATTGATCCTTTCGGAATCCTACGAATTAATATGTTTCTTATTGACAGAGCATTGGCAGAAAGAGATGAGTTTTGTGGAGCGTGACGTGGAAGACTGTGACGAGCAGGAGGAGAATCAGGCGACAGTTATATTACCAGAGCTGGATAAAAGAATCGTAGTTCCCATGGATTTAGACGAAGTCAAGAATACAGTCTCGGATGAAGATTCAGTTCCAAAGAACACCTTGAACACGTGCGAGGAATCCTTGGTAAGATACTTCGTAAACCAATGTGATTTTTAAGTGCAGGGTGACACAAAATGATATCCCAGGTCGTAATGCAATTTTTCGGTTAGATAGAGTTGGATTTTGTTGTTCGGTTGAGAATTGAAATCTGCATTCGTAAATATAAATTAATGTAATTTGGTCCTAGCAAAGTAATAGATATGTTCCTATTTCTTTACTCTTTTATTCCATCAAAACGGAATAACATCAACTCAATAATCAATATGACCACCATCTGCTGCCAGAAATGCCAAAATACGTTTCGGCATTAAAAAAAGAATACTTTCAGGTCAGTGTCCTCTTCGAATTGATGAATGACGTTTGTGAGGTTCTTCAGAAGCAATGATTCCGAATTATGCCAATCCGTTGTTCACGGTGCATTCGTTACTCTAATGTATTAATATATACATGTAGTATTTAATGATTTCACCCAAAATTTCCGTCGGGTTAAGATCAGGCGAGTTACCGGGCCACAAATAATTACCCCAAAGTTGCCCTCGCCGATTCCTGATGAGATTTTGATCTGCATTGGCGCTCATGCAGAGTGCCATGTCGTGAACGAAAGTTACACGGCTAGCACATGTTGTTCTCAAGAAACACACTCAAGAACAGTTTCTCGATCATGCTCACTGTTCCAAGATTCTCCTTTTTCCTCGATCACAGTGAACAGGACAAATAATCCAATGGACACAGGATTCTTGATGGCCTGAGGGAAGTGTTCTTCTTCGGAGATGTCGCTCAGCTCCTTCGCCGAAATAGGGCGTTCTGATGATTAAATTTACTTATGGCATACATGAAGAATTCGTCGCTGAACGCGAGAAAGTCTACTTCATTGCATTGAGAGACAGAATTGACTAGAAGTAATTGGTGTACTTTGTTCAAATCGGTTTTCAGGGGCTTGGAGATCACAAGAAAAGGCTGCATTCCTTCTTTCTTCAGAAAGCGACGAACAGACTGTCTATAATTATTTTTTCTCAAAGCGGCTAAAAACTCATGTCAATTTTTTGTTGCCCTTGCGATGTAATTCTGTCCCAGCCGTTACAATTTGCGACTTTCCTGAGAAAAAATTTGTCAGCCGACCGTTATTTGAAATATCGGCGAAACATTACATCGGCTCCTTCTTCTAATTATCCAAAACCCATCAAATTGATCACCGCAAAATCGTCGCCACCCAATTCCGATCAATAAATTCAGAACCAGCATCTCGAGCTTTCCAAGAAGGCGATCACTTGAAGACCATCAGCTAGACACGCATCTTCGGAATAAAAGCTCATTCTGCAAGAGGGTGACATTGAAGGCCACTGAGGATACCTGAAAAAAGTGCGTGGAAAACACAAACATAAACCTATGGTAAGACTGTTCGATGCAGCGATGAGTTGAGCGCGTCTCCAAGCATGTTTAAACATGAACGCAATCCAGCGTGCGCGCACGTCGCAGCATTATCAGAGAGGACAGATACTGTAACTTGACAAGGAATCCACCAAAGTAGATTATTCTTTTTTTCCAAATGCATATTTTATTACTTTATCAAAAAAATATCGGGACTTTTTATCTATTCCGGAACCTGATTTACGATCCGAGCATATCATTTTGTGTCACCTTGAACTAGTAAATGTTTGATGTCGAAATTTAGTCAAGATTAGACTTGAATGACGTCTCATGATGTCACTTTACTTCTTTGTGATAGTTGGCCAGACAAGAGGGAAATAAATTTCAGCAGTTACTGGATGGAAAGAACCAAGAGACAAGAGATGTTGAGGTTGTTTCTGTTTCTGGAATGCTCGCAGCTGAAGTTGCAGGTTCTGGCTCCGGTAAGAATGAAAATCAATTGGCATTACATGTATTAACGGTATGAATTCGTGAAGGTAGCTCTCCAAAGACTTTTTAAGTCGAAGATAAAGATGGCAAAGGTAGTTGGAGTTGCAGAAGGGTGGCAAATTCTGGGTTCCAGCTGAATTTCATCAAGTATAGCTGGAGAATATAGAGTCTGGCTCTGTTTGATTTAAGAACCATTTATTTTAACAGTAAAGAAATAGGATTCTTTTCATGCATGATGACAAGAAATCGATCTATATTCGGCAGGGTTATCCCTTAAAAAATTTAAAGCGCTTTTAAAGCACTGAAATGAAATGCATTTAGGTTTTTAATTAATTTGAAAAACAACTAAAGTTGACGCTTTCATATGTCTAATATTTATTGCAAATACATTTAATGACACATTATGTGAATTGCATGACGCAGATTGCATGACGCTGAAAGTGCATTCAGAATTCTGATACTAATGATCAGATCAACAAGTGTCAGCATATAAACATATGTTGCCGACCATTTCAGGATGCGAATCTCTTGTGTAAGTCATGCTTTTACTCTTAGATCACAACACCCATATGGGTGATGCGGTTAACATTTTAATCATAGTCTCCGTGTTAATGTTACACCTATCATATGATGAGACAAGTAAATCAATATCCTTAAAATAAGAGGTAAGTCTGAGGCAAGGGATATTCTGTAGGTAAGAAATGATAAATGATGGGTAAGGGAGCGGTACATTGGGGGCAGAGGTGTAACACTGAGGTAAAATATAGGTAAATGAGAGGGGAACGACGGTGGACGGTGATACTGAGGTAAAAAAGAAAAACCGGGAATTTCCCCGTTTTTCCCCTTAATCTTTTCCCCATAATCTTTACTTGAAGGGTCTTCTGACAGGTTGAGGGACGGGGAAAAACCTTTTTTCTTACCTCAGGTAAAAATTTTTTGCAAGGGTGGTCATACTCTCTGACTTAGCGGATGACATTTGTTACGATTTGACTCGATAAATGGCTGTGGTCACTGAAACATATGAGAATTGGATGGCAAAACAAGCACAAGTAATGGCGCCAAGAAATGAGGACTTTTGCGCCACCCTTTTACTTGATAAGACGTGAGAAAACCATACACTTAAGCGTTGAATATGTGTATGTATTCATCTTCTTCCATTCCATTTTTCTCTATATTGCTCATGACTGCTTTGCTAGCATGTAGCAACATTGAATAATACAAATAGGAAAATAAATATTGATTTCAAAGTTCTAGAGAAATGTCAAAGTTCTAAAATACAGGGTGTAAGATTTTAAACGCAACATAGGGAAAATATTGCTGCCTGGAGGTGGAGGTCGGCGAACGCTATAAGGCCAGGTTGCCTATCTGCAAAGAAACACCCGGTGCAGTGATATCCTTACAGAAAAATTTTTCCAGAGGTAAAATAGGGACGGTGAAACTGAGGTAAAAAACCTGTTTTTCCTCCGTCTCTCCACCTGTCAGAAGACCCTTCAGGTAAAGATTAGGGGAAAAAGTGGTAAAATTGGGACGAACGAGGGAATAACGTTATGTACGGTAGGTTTCATCCTTCTAGATATGCAACCCAGTGAGCTATATGGGTCATTCCATCTCAAATCACCCAGTGGCCAGAGCATGACCCCCTGTTATTGACGAAAATATTTTGTGGTATCCCTCATGCCCAAAGTAAGAATGCAAAATTTTGGCTTCGGGTACGGAACCGCTTTGACACAATAGATAGCTACATTTTGTGAAATTTCAATAAAGGAGCGTGGACGAAAACTTTTCGACCGAAACGAACGCAGCAAACACCATTAATAATAATGGTGTTTGCTGCGTTCGTATAATCTTTTAAAAAGTTAGCCTTTCGAAGTTATTTCACATAATTTTTTTCCCCGAGGCGATACTTTATAAAATAAAGCTGTCCCATTTGCCAATTTTTTGCAGATTCAGAAATTTGCAAAAGTCAACATGTTCATTAAACTTTATCATCACTCTAGTACAGCGGTTCCAAGACTTCTTTGAATCGCGACCCACTTGTTGACGTACAGAAAATTTCACGACCAACTGGAGTCCAGAACGAGGTTTTTCAAAGTACTCATGAGGTAAAGAAAACTTATTAACCGTTTCTGCATGACATGTTTTTTCCTGAGTGGATGCGGATTTTGGGACTTTTTATACTGGGAAAATGATGCCTTTCACGAGCCAGAGTTTGGGAACCGCTGCCCAAGTAGCACATAACATTGAAACAACGTGGATTAAATGAATCAATGTTGATTCAATGTTATGGGCTAATAGGGCATTTATGTTTTTGGAATCAGCGGGAAAAGATCTAACGATGTGTGTGCCATTTTTGCCCCAACAAATTCCACTTAAGGAGATATCATGGCTCGAAATATGTAAAAATCACAATTAGTTAATGGCAGGTTTGGCTGTGATTCTTCCCATTTGACATGTGGGTAGCAGTGGAGCTAGTGTGATAGATCTCGCCATGATATATATTGAGTTGTGGTATTATTAGGATAGTGCACTTTTAGGTGGTAGATTTCGAGGTCTCTGATCACTTCTCAATTATCTTAGAGATGATACCCCTAGATGATAAGGAAAAACAGCCTAAGAATAGTGAAAAAAAATTACGGAGTTGCTACTGGAATAGGTTTACAATGGAAAGAGTAGAAAGAGAAAGGAAGACCCCCTTGGTACAAAACCTATGCTCATATTGCACAAGGGCAACAGAGTCCTGAACTTTGGCAGTTGAGAAAATAATACAGTTGCTAAAATTTAGCCTGGCACATATGACTGGCGAATTTGGGCTGAGAGACAGCAAAAGTGTGATGAAAAAGTAATCTTGCACCTGGTTTAATGACAGATGTAGGAAAGCAAGGAAAGCTACCAGATCATGCCTACGACGGTTTAAAAGAGACCCTTCTGTACATAATAGGCAGACACTAATGAAGGCAAGGTCTACATACAAATAAGTAATAAGGGAAGAAAAGGAAATTGGATTCATCTCATTTGTAAGCAAGCTATATGAAATGATGGCCAAAAACAAAACAAAGGATTTCTGGGGAGCACTCCGTAGACTTAACCAACCACATGCAGAAAATGAATTAGAACTAATTAGTGGCAACAGGTGGGTAAACCACTTTAAATCCCTTTTATTCCAAAGGGAGACCAATAACGCACGTATGGAGTAAAGGGAGACCAATAACGCAGTATGCATTTATCGTGGAGACGAATTCTTGGATGGCCCTTTTAACAGGAAAGAAGTGGTGGAACCCACTCAAGCACTCAAACTTGGGAAAGCAGCCGGTCTTGACGCCTGGCCCAATGAGCTCTTGAAATATATCGCACCGGATATGCTAGATTGGCTGACAGCAATAGCAATTCGTTGTCTAGTTCACTAGTTACTTTGGAATGCAACTCCTTATTACGTACTAAACGCGCGATTTCACTCCTGCAGTCCGCAGGGACAGAATATCATGCAGAGAATTTCACAAATAGCGAATTCCTATCTTGAAGTCGCCACCCTCACCATTGACAATAGAGATGAAGTTGTATAATCCATCGCTGGGAAGAATGATATGTGGCAATGAGAGTGGTTCAGAAGTTCCCAAATTATGAATTGATCATACAGAGCCTCTTCTAATCGAGGAACAACTCTGTCGCAGATTTAGTGTTGTGGAACACTTCTTCAGTTACATGCAAACCATTATCATAATCGGAAATAAGTCCGGTAGGCCAATTATTTTCTTTCTGACTTGCATATTTTCACTGAGAGAGAGAGAGAGAGGGAGAGAGGAATGCCATACCGCTTGCCAATAGGTTACGTTCTTATAGCAACCAAATTTCATTTTGGCGAAGCAAGAATGAGTTCTGCTGCTTTTGATGAGATCATGACGTGTTTTCATTTATTTTGATATTGTAAATAGCTCGTAAGTAGTATTTCT